GAGGATTGTGCCATGCATGGCTTGTTGTTTTTTTATGCGGTATCTTGGACATGCTCTGTCAGTTTTCATTCAAATTTGGCACATACATGTACTTTATACATGTTAGGATGCATGTCCATTTTGTTTCAAAATCTGGTCAAGGATGGCCGATTGACAGCCATCTGACTTTTTGGCCTTACTACTATATTTCCACAATTTATGTACCATTTTTATTCGTATTTGGCACATACATCATACATATCAGTGTGTTTCACGCCTGTATTTATTTATGGCCATATTACTACTACATGAAACACGTGTTTTGATGTAACTAAACAATCTGTTGTATACGCCACTTGGAACTCAAGTTTCAAGGACACGCTCGTGACAACCCCTCAGCTTTAATATGACGAGCACAAAGAGAACTTTCAAAAATTTAACAGGGACTGTGTCATTTTCAATGACTTGTTAATACCATAATGTCAGTGTGGTAAATAAGTTTCGATAATGCACATATCTGATACATTTATCACATGTTTTCTGCAGACTGCAGATGTTACAGGAAAACATGGTCGGTGGAGAAAGAGCTCATGATGAAAACTTAAAAGAGAAAAGGAGGAAAAAGCTGAAGCATGCTGAGATGCGAAAACTAAAATTAGCAAAAGCCATAGCAAACATGGATGATGATGGAATTATGTTGAATATCTATAACAATATTGAAGAGGAGCTCCGAGCCAAAAATGCATTATTAGAGAAAGAAAAACAATTAGTATGTACCGGTATCTTAAATATAGATTAATAATGTGTTCAGAAGACATTAACAGGGTTATACTGTTTTTATTTAGGGATTTTGCACAAGGAGGATTCACTGTTGACTATCAATATTTTTCAGAATAGCGTCTACAGTAGCCAACTAATGGGTTCTTCCAACATAATATTGGCTTCTCTTTTCCTGTCTTTTAATTTCATGTTTAAAATATAAGATTTTGAGTAGTTGCAATTTTGTTTAAAAAAATCTGTTCACAACCATTTCCCAGAAATGCAGTCATAATTTTTTTTCAAACTTGACTAGAGGGCAGTAAATAACCATTCACTATACATATATATAAAGTCCTTTCCCACTGTACTTAGTCCACATACTCTATAACCAGTTTGTATAGTGTGATCCTTGTTAATTGGTGTATTTAGTGCTTTTAATGACATTTTGTGTCGTCACACTAACTGTAAGCAGTGTAATCATGTCATTTATGCTGACTTGTTCCTTGCAATCCATAGGTGAAAGCGGCCCAAATTGAGATAACTGATCTCCAGTCTGAATTTGAATTTGAACGAATTGACTACTTAGATTCAATCCGAAAACAAGACAGGCAAATAAAAATGTTTCAGCAGCTTCTGGAAAAGATTCAACCCTTGATAAGAAGAGACTGTAACTATAGTAACCTAGATAGGATAAAAACAGAGTGTAAATGGGATGAAGAGGAGGATAAATGGATCTTGCCTGAATTGACTGTAATGAAAACTTCACTGCCGTCAGGTAAAATATACAACACAAAAACTCTCCAGATAGAAATTGAAAATATACGGTTGCTCAGTTTCTTTTATGCTATGATGCACAAATCATTGCAGAAAAAGAAAATCACTCTTTTTTTTTTTACCACAGTTTTCCATCAAAATCCATGAATAAATAATGCTTCTTGCAAAGTGGATTTGATGAGAAGCACACAGATGACTGGAAATTCTATTATAGACATGTACCGGTATATGATGGTATAATGAGTTGTATTGTTACATTTTTAGGTGTAATGCCTGGATTACGACCATCCCAGACAAGAGGTTATGATAGATCACCAACAAATACAGTACAGCAGTCTGGGTATAATGATAGTGATGATGATAGGTTTCGTAAGGTATGCTTCAGTCTTCTGTACAAATAACTAATATAAACATAACTGGTGTGTATCACACACACAGACATCGCAGAACATTACAAATTCATGGGTCGAGTTGTTATCCATCTTTATGTTATACGTAAGAATCTTTTCTATTTACCTGTGTGTACTTTAAAAATGTTATGGTTATGTTATTTTAATGCAGAAACTGAGTAATGGTAATGAGGCAACAGAGTATTTCAAACCTAAAAGAGCAAGTCAAATTCTTAGTAACCAGAATAGGTCTGCTTATGTTGGTATGTATATTCTGTTCTATCATCTATTTCATGTTAACTCATAGATCACATTAAACCACTCGTGGAAATGTATAATAATACTGTTCTGGTCATGTTTATTCATGACTGATTTTAAGGTTTCTAACATGTGATGCATTCATGTACCACTGGTTGGATGCAAGTAAATTCACTACACAACACTTTACTGCTGTACATGGAAACTGAGATTCAGACCTGGCTTTATTTTGGTACAAATATGTACATGTTAATTACATGTACCTAATTAGTATGCTCAGGTAGAAGCCAACTCTTAAATGAAAATACCCAGAATTTATTCATTTTGCAATAATTGTACTTTTGGGTAATATAAAGATATTTTACTTAAAACATTGCCATTCTAAACATTATTTTAATCCTAATATGTGCTTTTCCACAACACAGAACCAACCTATTCTAGTTCTAATCACATGATGAATGGTAACCCTGCTGTCATGCCCAGCGTTGGTAGCGTCAAACCAAATGGTGACATTGGAGACTTCAGAGCTGCTGCTGTACATGGACAACTAACAGCAACTGACATGCCAATGAGAAGACCAACGCGACTTGAAGCACTGCCAACTGGTGGGAGAAAGAAAAAAAATAAATGGAACACTCTAGAGAATCTGTAAGACCGCCCTCTGTAGTTAGCATGTCACTTCACACTCGTACTTTTGATGGTTGTAGGTATTATTTTATTTTCGATTTCTATGTATTGAAATTTACACACCAATCTTGTTTTATCAAAGATATAAAACAGATTTTGTGACAAACTGTTTCTCTGACAATCATTTTTATTTGCCAAAAAAAAAAATGTAGATGACACTATTATTCAAGTTATTATTATACATTTTTGACATGTTAACTAAGAGGAAGTAAAAGTGTTTCACATAAATTGACTTTACAGACTTGTGTATATATAGTAGTTTGTATGTATTTTTATCATCCATATTAACTAAGCAGTAACTGTGTTTTAAAGTGCCAGCCAACCACCTAGTCATTTTGTTTTTATTGCAATATTTATATTAAGAGTGTGCTAAAACATAATTTATTAAATATATATTGAAAAGACAGAGTAAGGTTGAACAGTAGAACGCTCAAATATGACTTTTTATTTAATTCAAAGATACTTTCATTGTTTGTTCCGTCCTATTGTTTGGCAGTGTTAAGCATGTATTTTTACAATTGCAGGTATGTTTTAACCATGTTTTCTGTCAGTTTTCAAGCATATTCATGCTGCATGTCTGACACTGCTTTCAGTTATCCACAAACACCCCTGTGATCATCAATGGTTTAGTCCAAACTATCAATGGATTAGGCTATACTATCACAGACACAGGGAGTTGTGGATTAAAGTAATTCAATTATATTTACATTAAGCAGCTTTGAAGCTGTTGCACCAATCACATATTTTGAATTGATCTGTTTGACTTTGCTATACTTGGAACTGTACATAATATTTGTGTGTTGAATGTGTCCCCACGGGAACTAAGAATATTATATTTTATTAGATTTCTCTGACATTATATCTCAATGTACTTGTATGGTTAGTAGTGTTGTATACTTTACTTATCATTCCATGGTTGACTATGAAATGGGAAAACTTATCATGACCATGTCGCAAACAAGACAAAATTTTGAAAAAACAGCAATGTCAACGTATTGTGTTCTAAGGCCAGTTGATTTCTTCTTGTTGTTGTAGTAATTGAATAACAGAGGGCGATGTTCTGTTAATTTAAATATAAAGAGCACCCGAGACATTGTTGCCCCTTGTATTATAATGTATATACAGCATCCTTGCTACTTTTTAAATACAGAATTTCTGGTCACATGTGTAGATGTTGATGCTTATTTTTAGAAGTGTAAAAACCGCTGCATTGCTTGAGTTCACTATATTATAGCAGGGGATTTTTTAGGCTATATATATATATTGACGCATAACTTTGTTGTTTGTCCGATATTTAGTGATACCCACAATATTCTTGATGCTATTTTGTATTAAATATGGGTATTTCAAAATATCTTGCTTAGAATCTTCACTGTTAACTTGTCTTGAAGGTTTTTCGATTAAGGCATTTATTTGTCAATTGTTGGTCAGGTAGATAGTGTTGTCACCAAGAACTAAGCAGGATCTGCAGACATATTACAGAGTTCAAGTTGTCATAATGACTTATTGTAGTTGATTTTAAGCTGTACTATTGACAGCATTATGGGAGTGAGACATTTTCAATATAGGTATGCTATAAAAAATATACCATGCTGCATGGAGGGATGAGCAAGCAACAATGTATGGACGACAGAGTACAACATTTCTAGTTTGTTGGTTTTTAGTATGTGTGCCAAACATTGAGTATTATAGGCAGTTTTACATTTTAGGATACATCTTGTATGTGAAATATTTACTACAGTATGTTGTGTGTATATTATTCAACTGCCTCTTTTATCACATTTTTTTGATCTTATAAATATTTGGAGCCTTATCCTGTCATCTATTTACACCGCTCTTTAATTATTGTGAAATATGTGACTTAAGCAGAGTATTAAATAAATTCTGTGTTTGATGTAAAAGCATCTATAAAATGTAAAATGTCTATAGAATTGTTTTTTTTATTCCCCGTTCGGATGCAGTCCGAAAACTGAAACTTATGGATTGACCTCCGGGCATTCATGTGTGCGTCCGTCCATATGTCTTAGACATGCCTAGACCATTCAAATTTCACGCATACAACATTCATAATATTATACATATGCACATCAATTTGTTTTATGTTCTGATTCAAAATGGCTGAATGGTGGCCATTTTTGTGTCAAAAATCATCAAATACCAAGCATTTCTGGATGGATTTTGTTCAAATTTAGTACATACATTAGAGATTATGAGTCATTTTAGTTTTCAGATCGGATTCAAAATAGCTGACTGGCAGCCATTTTGTGAATGTGTTTCTCGAGCCACATCTCTGATATGGTTTGACTGATTATGTTCAACTTTGTATATTCGTTGTGGTATTCAAAATGAGTGACTGGTGGCCATTTTGATTTAATTAATGCTGTTCCAGAGGAATATTTCTCAAGTTTGACGATCAGATACAAAATGTCAATCATTTTAATGTTAAAAAATCATCATAATCAAGCATCTTCTAGATCCATCCTTCTGACATGTTTATGTTCCAACTATATTACTATAAAGAAAACTACATTCTAAATTTGATAACAGAGACTGACATGTTATTAATTTGTATTTTAAAGGAAGCATGCCCTCTATGGTGTTTTGAGGTCACTAGGATATATACATTGTATTTATTCCAGACCATCTATGTAAATAGTTGCATTGAAAGCCAATGAATAGTTGTTTATTAGTGGAACACATAAACATTTCCATTGGGTGCTTTGCACACAGGAGTAATAAAAATTGTGCAATTTGCAGTCCATGTCACTTTAATTCACTAATTACCTCAGTATTGAATAATCCTTTTACAAATCCTCCCCAAATACCTGTTATACGAGTAAGTACAGTAGGTTACCAGCTGAAAAGTGTGTTCCATAGTGACAAATGGCTCACCGTCCGTCCACTCGCACGATTTTGTATCTGTTCGTCCCTCTCCACGAACAGAGGCAGTAAGCTGGATCATTACAACTTGAAAATTCAAGATAGTAATGGCTGTATATCATAAATGAATTTCTTTAATACCTTGATGTCATTGCTGGTGAGAAAGTGCAGTTATGACAAAGTAAATCAGAAATATCATTGATTCAGACATCACTTCTATTAGTAGTCAATTAATGAATAACAATGAATCACAAATCAATTTTTATTTATGGCATCTTTATTAAGATTTATATATATATATATAATATGACATGTGTATAGGGGGGTTATGCAGAAGTTAAAACAAATCCAGATAATTCTGTAAAACCCAACAAAAACAAAATTTGGTCAGAAGATCACCGCTACACAATTCATGAAAATGATTAATGAAAACTATCTCTTGTCACAATAAAGCGGTTGACAGAAAATTGTATATGTCAAGAAATTAATATGAATATCAAACATTTTATAAATTTCATTATTTGCAATGACATGTAATGAGGAATTATTGACTAAAGTAAGCACCACCACATCACATTTGTATTGTCATTTCATTATAACATTCTAGTCTATGATCACTTCCACTATTTGTAACTTTAATTCTCTACAAAGCAACAGTGACCACAAAACCTGTGCAGCAGTTACTTGGATCGTCAATCCTGTACAATTTTAAACAGCTAGTAATTGTAGCTCAATTTTAATCACAATGTTTTTATTACAGTTCTATTACTAACTTAGATAAAACTTGCCACTATAAGAAGTTTATACAAAGAGATATAAAAATTCTGTACAAAAATATATTCCTGACTTTTGCAAAATCCCAACTTTTCCAAATTATTATTACTATTATAAAAAGGTCTTAGTATTAGTATTATTAGCAGGCACTTTCATCTTAATCAACACCCTTGTCCAGTTTCAAATCAAATATACATATCATATCATACCATACCAGTACTTCAATAAAGTATAAACACACAATGACTTAATGTCAAATAAATGCTTTCAGTTATCCACAAACACCCCTGTGATCATCAATGGTTTAGTCCAAACTATTCATGGATTAGGCTATAATATCACAGACAAAGTTCTGAACATTAGTATACAAAATAATGGCAGTTGTCATGCCTGCCTCACAAGTCAAGGTTTTCAATGTAACACAAACAAATACAACAGTCATAGACCCTCGTGTCTTCAACACTTTTAACAACAATCAAACTTTTGTCACTTTCTCCAAAAAAATTTACGAGGACCAGTATCCAATGGCGATAAGTTCAACAGATTAAAAATACATGAAAACGATGCACCAAAATGATAGGGTTTAAAGTGCTGTAGTTAATATACTGTGATGAATATGTATTCAGTGAAATAATATAAATAGAAAGATGTGATGTCGACAAGGAAATAAAAGAAAAACACGATAAAAAATACAAGCAGAAATGGTTCCTTTCAGCTCTCTATACCAATCTAAAACTATATGTATTCTGATAAGGTATATACGTTAGATCAAATAAAGTATATGCAAAATACAAAATAACATGATAATTCATTTACATAGTAATTATTCAAGTTTATAACAATTTGGTTTCATTAAATATTTATAATGTACACTGGAATGAACATAGTGTACAAGTCTTTGTTAAGTGTTCACTAAGGTTTCATGTTACAACTATGCCTTGTTACAAGAAAGGAGATATTCTAAAAGTACCAGCAGCAGCAGCAGCAGCACTTCACAGTGAGTTCAATCATAGACCTTGGAAAGAAAAAGGTCTATGGTTCAACATACCCAGCTAGGATGTAAGTAGTGAGAGGGAAAAACACTTTCTAAACACTTTTTTCGAACATTAAAAAACATATTGAATATCGATGAATCATTAAATAAATCTACCTAAAATATCTGAATGAATGGGTCTTTCCAAAAAGTCTATGATTAAACAAACTAGCACTGCTATGTTTTTGCATAATGTTTGTTATTGTGTCTTATTAGTCATTCTGATGCAAATATTTAAATGTTTTCCTCAATATCCAAACTTTCACGCAATAAATAGAGGTTTTGAATTAGATAACAGACAGAGAATGTGTTATTCAAAAATGTCATAGCACCCTTCCTGCTATCTTAATGTCATGTTAATGTGAAGTTAAACTATCAACTACATTAAACAGTTCAACAGAAAAAACACTTGGTATTATGTATTATTCTGATTAGTAGAATTATATACTGTAAAAAAAGTTTTTCAATTTTATTCTGTTTTTAATTACTAGTATAATGTACTCTTACTTTGATGACAGATTAAGTATGTCACTTTGATTCCATCGTCATAGTTACAAGTGATATTGATGTGTGAGTCAAACTTCTAAATGTTAATGTGACTACAGTTGTATGTTAGTGTCAGACTGACGTTAGTGTTGAACTGACAATGTTTGTGTCAGAATGTTTATTATTTACACATCTATTATCATATATCACTGAATAACACATGTTGTTTGCTCTACACATGTAGACCATGTCTGTCACCATTAAATATTAAAAGATTGAGTTTTGGTCCTGCCTATTAAAAGTTGGTCCAAATACATGTACATTATTCACCTATTTGTCAGTATAAGTTTCTAAAAGTGATTACTAGCATTCAAAGACACGGGTGATCTATTCATAGCAATGTTCAATGAGTTCTCGTCATCAATAACCATACTATGTCTGATTGACACTGGTGCTCTGTTCATCGCGATGTCGTCCATCGCAATGCTGTGTCTCTTCTTTACTATCTCATTGATGTAGGATTTCATCAACTTAGCGATTTCAAACACCTGTCAATGAATAATAATGCGGCTTTAATTACTGTAATCTCTTTAATCCTTAAATCGCCGCTAAGAATATCAAGATTGAAGATTAAATCATTCATGAAAATATGTGATTTATTACAGAACACCTTATGTTCCATTACTTAATTTTTATGCAAATTAGGTAATCAATATGCACATATATACTCCAAGTGCATATATTACTCCAATCAGGTTTGCGCATTATCCTAATGCATCTGTGTACCAAGTTTCATTGAAATGCTTCTTGAGAAATCAGTGCAACAGCGGAAAATTAGCTCATTATTATGGGAATCAATCAAAAACTAATCAATCCTAATCAGGTTTGTTCATTATCCCAGAGAATTTATACAACAAGTTTCATTGAAAGCTCTTGATAAACTGGTGAAACAGACATACAGACATGGTAACCACAAAAATATTGTCATACAGGGTTGCAATGTTTGTATACTTACATAAGTTGTTTCAAATATGAATGGCGTCTTATGACCCTCCACAACAATCCTGTATTCATTGTCTAAAGGAGCACCAAAGGACAATATTCTGAAAACATGAAAAATACAGATTTGTTCATGTTACAGTGAGGACTGTAAAATGTACAGTGGAATTTGATACAGTAACTATAGTAACAGTAGAGACACTAGACATGCATGAAGTATGCATGAAGGCAATACCATGATCATACTGACTGACTCGTAGCAATTGTATGGACTTACGCAATGAATTATCATAGTAATAATGCTATGAAAGATAACAACCTGAAATGGCAACGAAAAACTTTTTTTCACTAAATGTGATTGCGAAATGTACAGATATTCTGCGATTGCAAGATACATTTGCAAAAAATGCAGCCATGTCATTTTTGGAATGGTAATTCTATTGTTTTTTGTGATAGATGTATAACATAAGGTTATCACATGAATACTGCAAAGTGAGCACAGATGCAGTATGGCAATCGTATTCACCAACACATGTGATCCGTACTGCCTCAGTGCATACTTTGCGGTATTCTTGTAATGACCTTAATATCTTACATTTTGAACAGTCCAAAATGGCAACAAAAACATTTTACACTGTACTAACATTTGCGTTTAGTGATGGGATTCTATTTCCATTGTGGAAAGTGTTTGAATGTGACGTCAATAACCTTGAATGTGTCAATGTTAGTGACGTAGTTCACCCCATTAAAAAAGAAAATGTTGACATTCGAAGTGCTGATATGGTTTAGAATGAAGGCTTATCAAGTTTTTTACAGAACTGCAAATTTAATTGTTTTCAGTGCTTGCTGTACAATACCTTGTACACTAATTTTGAGCTTCAAAATCACTGATTTTTTCAGGGGTTGATGCTTTTACAACCTGCTTTTCTCTACACGACTTCTGGAGAGCATTCAAACCAAAATGATATTTGGTACCTGACAGACTTAAAAGAGAGAATAAAAACTCACTTTTCATATGTGAATTCATCAATTGGCTTGGTATCTCCTCTTCTGTAAAATGCGATCATCTTTGAACTGATAGCCAACCACAGCTCACCTAGGAAGATGCCTTCTTTGCCAACGACATTAAAGATTGTAGCACCGTATCCAGACCACTGTTTCACAATAGCCATGTATTTTTCTTGTGCCTCATCTGCCGATAATCCCTGTAATGTGTGTTGCAAACATTTAAACTTATTGTATCACGATGACCATACAATGTACAATATAATGTGGTAAGTCATGGAGACAAACGATCGCTGTAACACGTCGCCCGATGACGCCATTTTCCCCCATTCATTTCATCTATTCAGGGAGATTTTCAGTATGCGATGAGTTTTAGCAACTGTATACCTCTATGATTACTATCACAATGACTGTAGGTTACATACGTTATCATGCAAATTATTTTTTAGTGTGATAATAAAAATAAATTCACTTTACATGTCAAATTTTATCTCTTATTCTTATATCTAAAATTAAACATTTACAGTATGAATTTGATGGCCTGTTTAAAAGGCGGTGGTCATCACACAGGGCAAGTTTGAATTTTATGTAAACAAACATTGTATTTTATATGCCTTGTGTACGTCGCTTTGAGTCCCATATTGAACAGGCACAACAATGATCATCCTTCAATACCAGTTTACAATGCTTCATCTGACTCTGAAATCTTACCTTCAGTGTCTTCCATTTCTCTGTAACTGCAGTTGTTACTGCCGATAGGTCTTCTTTGAAAACTTCATCAACCAGTAAACTGTCGTCAGAAGCTGCCAAAAATTCGAAAAAAAAGATAAATTTATATTCATTTTCAGTAAATTATACATCGAAAAACATTTTTTCTATGATAAATTTTCATGATTTGATGAGCAAAAAGCAGATCACATCAATACTGCCCAAAAACAAGTATCCATACCGAAGTACTGGAAAATGTTTGTCCGATGCAGGGAGGTTTCACTAAACACTTAAAGCAGGAGGGGCGTCACCTGCGCACGTGCGGGAATTGAGTCCAAAGCAACGATAACAACACACGCTAAGAACGCAAAGGCTCATGGGTAGACGCTTGTTTATATAAACAATGACACGCTATGACCACCTGACGCAGGCGTAGGCGACGATTCCCCCGCTTTAACAGTAATTGTGTAGTAATTTCATTTTTGAATAAACAATTGACACATGTACTTACAAGCTTTCTGTAGTTTTCTTAATGTTCCTCTGCCCAAACCTCTTAATGTGCCCTAATAGAATAGAATAAAACTGAGTGACTAGCCATAAAGTTATGAAGTTATCACTCAATATGATGATACAAGTGACCTTACCACGTGTTCATACAGCAAAATAATACAAGTAACCTTGTATAACACCATATATGGTAGAATAGGGAAATTTAAGAGTTTTTTAGTTCCAAAGGCCATTTTGTCAACTTTTATATGTGTACATGTATTTGAAAGCATTATTTAATAAACTTTATGCATTGAACTTGCATCTTTTTTTGTGGTATTACTGTAAAATACTTTATTTTCATTTGGAATTAATTTTTTGCTATTTTCGCTTAAGGAATGAAGTGAAAATAAAATCCATAATATACACATTTTTTCCGATATTTTACATTAAACTTGTCAAAAAATAGTTCCATGCAAAACAGCCAAAATACAGTAATTAATTAATCTTAATATAAATGTTGCATTAATATTGCAGCAGTGTTCCTGGAATATTTATAAAAACATAATAAAATACTCTACTAACTATGCTGATGTATGTATAGACAAGTCTAATAGCTACAAAACATGTCTGCAAGCCACATGGAGCAAAAAATGTGAAATTACTCACCACCAAGAAATTTTCTCTTTTCTCCTGTGATCGTACAGGTGATTCATTTTCCTTTTCCTTGATTGGTTTACTGGAGTGTAGCTTATCAAGACAGTAATAAGACCCCATGTCATCTCTGGAATAAAAGTTTTGTATAAAGTAAACTGAAATAGCTCTGCTTTTCAAGATTGTTATTGTCATGTGTGACCTATAATATATTAACACAGTTATACAAACTCACATCCATGTCCCTGTGGCGTAATCTCCTTTCACAAACTGTATTCGTAGAGCTGCTAAGTGTTGTAGCATATCCTCAGATGCAGGAAATTGTCCCTGTATTACTTGTTCATGTGCCTATAAAAAAAAAAAAAAAATAAAAAATTATTAGATGTTCGATCAATAACAATAAGTATTATAAATACCAAGTAGTTGGAATACTCGGCAATAGAGGATGATAATTGTAAACTCTTAAAGGGTAGAAAATTGTTTGTTTTTGTTTTCTTCAAAAAGTTTTAATTATCAGTAAGCATGATTTTTGTTTTTAGGATGATGTTCATCTTTCCTCTATCAAACACATTTTAAATGTAGTCAACTTCATCGAAGGATTTGTTTTGAAATTATCTCGTACTGAACCCCCACTCTAGTTTCTAGTGTTCAACCCAGCACTGTTACTTTTTGCCACAATTATTCTCATTTAATAGCGTTATTTAAGTCATGTGACCACCACACCCAGCCAGCAGGACTCCGATACCCTGCCAGTAGAACATTTTCTTTTCACTGTGAGATCGAGAGTTATGCATGAAATCAAACATAAAAACAGGACAAAAAAAGTCATAGTGATGTCAAAACTCTGCATGGGATGAAACAAATGTAAAAATATTTTTCGGGCAATTCTACACTTAATAATGTGCTATTCACATTTGATGGTAAATTTTGCTGAAGTAAGTGTACATGTATCTAAACGCCATACTTTCCTCTGAAAACTCAGCATTTTGAAGCTGAACTATGAAAAAAAAATTTAAGTTCCAAATCAAATCATTTGATTTTTGGAGCAGATGTTCATAATATAGGATCTTGCAGTGAACAGAAAATCAACTATAAAACAATTTATTAACCCTTCACCACTAGACTTCCTTGCCCAAAATTTTCTGCATTTTTTCTCATATTCCTTAATATTTCTGGAAATGAACCTTAATTTTGGAGCCAACAGACAAAATTTTAGTAAATTTTCAGTTTTTACTCAAAAAATTTGGCTAATTTTTTTTTTCAATCTTCTGAAAGAAAGTGCAGACTATAAACAGGAATGTGAATTTGTGATGAAAAGAGGGAACTGGTGGTGAAAAGGTTAAAGGTTATTTGAATATATTAAATTACCTGTTCAAACATAAAGCTATATTCTATAGTGTCTTTGTCCACATTAGTGGTATCCATAAAGCAATGCAACTTGAAGAATAACTGCCACTGATGGCGCCCTTCCCCGATACCTTGATGTTTGTACTGTTCAAATTTCGCAAGGATATCCGCCAATATCGTTCTTTCCTCAATCACCTTCTCCGTTGATCCGCATTTTTCAAACAGAGCAAATCGGTTATTTGACTTTTCCAGACTCATTCCCTTCAGCAGCGTTGTGATAACCTGTGATAAACGACAAAACTGACATGTTTTGCACAAGAAATTATAGAATTAAACGCATGCAGACTTTAACCATGCAGGAACTGTAGACATAGAAAACAACTCAAAATAATGACTATGATTTGTACTTTGATACTTTTAGAGATAATACATGGTACATGCAAACTTGAAAGAATAAATTTACCCTCATTTCCGATTTTTTTTTTTAGTTTTCCACTAGAATACAAGAACAAGTGAAATATAAATAGATAACAAGAAGAGGTTGAAAAAAATTCTTTCGAAGCCATATTCAAAGTTAGTTAGGAGAACGCAAGCAAGATTTATTACACCAAATAGCACTAAAGAACAGACATACAGACTTCATAGCCAATATAACAATACATACCTGACCAGCACTGGTTGCAGAATTAATGGAAATCTTACATGATCCACCACCATAGCAATACACAGTGGCATTCATCTCACGCCGTGCCTAATAAATAATGGGAAAAGTTTTCAATACAATACAATTAGATTACACCATACTACACTGTAAACTAAACTAAACTAAACTAAACTAAACTAAACTAAACTAAACTAAACTAAACTACACACCACTACACTACACACCACTACACCACACCACTACACACCACTACACTACACACCACTACACTACACACCACTACACACCACTACACTACACTAAACCATGAACATAATACTGATAGAATGACTTACCAAACAAGACATAATTTCTTCTCTAGAAGGTACATATTCTCTTGTTCTGGTTCTTTTCAACGTTTGCACAGCATACTGGGCATATTTAGCTACCTGGCTGTCTGGATAGGCTTCAATTTGTCTGGTACAAGAACAGATTGAAAACAAGTTGTGATTAACGGTACATTAAAACTACCAGTACCGGGGAGGTATCTCATGAACTCAGAATATAGCATTTCATTCAATCACAGTACCGTAAATGAATTTATGAAACCATGTTAATATGTACAAATACAATAAAGGTCATTGACCAGAAATATGTAAATTAAAACCCAGTGAATATATAAAAACAGTGAAACTTTAAATCTCAGTGAAATTTTTTTTTACAAAGTCGGAGGAATAAATTAAATATACAGTGGCCCCTCGCTAAGTCGCGCCTCGGTAAGTCGCGATTCGGCTAAGTCGCGGGTACTTTGATGGCTCCCAAAATTTCTATTGTGTTTTGACAGCAGTTTTGAAGTACAAAGACTCATGTTTTGTGGTATAGTTTTATTAACTAACCGTTAAAGAGACAACTTAACACCTACTATCTGTCAATTGCTGAGATTCAATGGGTGACGGCGGCCTTACTCAAGGTGTCAACAGGGGTGTCGAGTAGTGACCGTACGTGCTTCTCGGCCGGTCCCATTTTGGTATACCTCTATAAAACTCGCTACAATGATTTGAATTCTTTATCTGACCTCTATTTCTTAACTGAGCAGCATGTCAAAGCGAAATCTATCCAGCCTGTTCGTATGCCATAAACTCACAGCGATCAACCGTGTTAAGAAGAGGTGAAACCAAGTTAAGCGTTGCACGTGATCTAGCAGTGGGTGAGCCCACTATTTGTGGGTGGGTAAAAAATGAAGAGTAAATTTGTTTTCAAAGTTGATCAAGAGGCAGGACTGAACTGAAAAACACACAAAATTGTCCGACAAATATGACATCGATAAAGCAGTTTACGTTTCTTCAGGAACGGCCTGCCGGAACTCCACTCTCAGGTCCCATCACCCAATGCAAAGCACGCAACTCAGATACGACGACTTTGAATTTGAGGCCAGTTCAGGGTGGTTCTTGCGATGGCAAACAAGACACGCTAAACACGCAGTCTCAATCCAAGGCAAAGCTCGATCTGCGAACATGGACGCTGTCAGAACTTTTCTCAACAAGCAGCCTATCGGCTGAGATAGCTCCGCTGTTAGCAATGCACATTTCAATTAAAGAACTGAAGACATCATTAGAAAATGAACAATATGTATAGTATCAAAGCAATCGGACTTACAGTTTTTAACAAGAAGTCGAAAATATCACTTTCTACCAAAAATGACCAAAATATTCACCAAAATTAGAGAATTGAAGA